TGATACAGTCCCATGAGATAATAATGTTTGGTATGGTAAATCAAATGCAAAAAAAAAAAGCTTCTGGTCCTAGCTCCATTGGTAGTTTCTGCATTTTGGTGTACAGGGCAGCTCTGTAAATATGTCTTCAGTGAGCTCAGTCTCTGGAGACCAAATGTGTAATTTTCTTCAATTCTGCGTATTCGCCGCTTTAAATAACCCCGTAGCCTCCACGTTATCTTCCATGAAGCGGGAGGGTCACACACACGATTTGAGCGTGTACGTGCTTGATGTACAAAGTCTCTGTCTGTCTGTATCTCATGATTATCAACTGACCGCCGCAAGACTGAAGCAGACTCTCGCTGAAAGAGCAATCACACACGGAAAGAAATATTTTCTGTAGAATATTGCAGGTGTGAAGTTTCTGGCACTGAGATTACTGGCAAAGAGAAACTCTGAAAGGAAACCCAGCTGCATTTAGAAAACGTTTGAGTATAGTTCAGTGCTGTAGCTGACCACACCCTGATACTCTCTCGCACACATACACACACGAAACACACGTAAACACACACAAACACATGGTCGTGTGCATACATGAATAGCTCAAAAAAAAAAAAAAAAAAAAGAAATACACAAATGGAGCTCAAGTTTTCCTTCCAAATATTTTCCAGCCTTATTATTTTCATCTTCTTTGTTCTTGTGTTTACTCAGCCCACTAAAGATAATAAGTCTTTTCCTCAGTGTCTACCCCCCAGATCCCCCCCCCCCCACACACACACATTTCTCTCCCTCTTCATCTTCCTGTCTCCCTCTTTCTATCCTCATCTTGCTCTCCGTTCCCCCACTTTCCTCCCTCCTCCTTCTCCTCTGCTTTTCTTTCTTTCTTTCACATCACCAACTCCGTTTCTCCCCCTCTCCTCCGCTCCTTCCTTCTTTTTCTTCTCATGCAGCATTCCTCACATTCCTCTTGGCTTCTTAGGGGGAAGGACCCCGCTGGCAGACCAAGGCCAAACATTATTACAGTGCTCTCAGCCTCTCTCTCTGTTTCTTCATCCTATCTCTCTTCTTCTCTCCCTCTCCCACTGATCCTACCTCTCTTATTCTCTTTCTGACTTTCTTCTGTTCCTCCTCAGTCACTTTATCTTTCAAATCCCTTCCCTTGTTCTTTCGCTCTCTTTTTTTTTTCTTCATCCCTGCTAATTCCATTTTACAGATAGTTGCTTTATGCTTGTACTTTAACTGTGTTAAAACAGCTTACTGAGACCGCTGTGTTTCATAATTAGTGGAAATAAGGGTCATACCCTCCTCTGTTACGTAAAACAGGCTCATTCATGTTTATACAAGCGCATGTGCTGTGTTTTTTAACAACGACACACTGTCCGCACATGGGAGATAAAGTATCAGACACACAGAGTAGGCTCAACACACACCCCCCGCACTTACAAAGCCCCGTCAGTTTTCTCAATTAAGTGAGGTTTCGAGAATATTTCCCTGTGTCTGCATGTATTTGAATGCACCACAAATTAACGTTAAACATTTTAGTTTTAGCTAGATGAGCCTGAATTGTGCTCAGGTTTTATTACCTCATTATGTTACACACAGAGATACACCGTCACTAAGGAGAACTGAAACAACAGATTCGAAATGAAAGCAGTAAGCCAGTTGCTTTAGTTTGATGTGCAGTGTAGTGAAATAGAGAAAGAAGAATAGTGGATTTCTGATTTGATATCAGGAATGAATGTGCATCTGCATATGTGTGTCCATACATGTCATGGGTAGGCCTGGGTATCATTTGAAAATGTACGCTGAGATTTAGAAAAATAAATAGCCTGGGCTTTTATTTGCTTCAGTCAGTGAACTTTAACCTGCCTATATTTGGAACAGGCGTCTATGTGGGACAGGCGTTTTGTTCGTTTTGCACGTTTGATGCTCATGGTTTCAATAAAATGGTTGAACTGTGGAGAATCTAACTGATCTAAATTTGTAACATGTCCATATTGACAAAAGTTTAAACATTTATCTTTGTGTAGGTGATCTAAGCAGCTTGGAACTCACTCAAGCGGGCGACCCGGTGGGCTCTAAGAGGTTTTATACATCCGGATAATTTCTGTAAAATCCTCACCAGGCTAGTAAAAGAGACCTGTGTCTATTTGGAACCCTGCTTTTAAATTAAGCTTTACAGTAAATATTGTTGTCTTCCAAAATATTTTTTTTTTATCATTAAACAAAAAAAGTAAAGTTCCTTTAAATGTTGAACAAAGCTAGACCTACAAGAAGCCTTTAAATAAAGATCTCCCTGATGAAAGAGTACTTTCAAAAACATTAATTCATTACTTAACAGTTTTTTATATTTATACGTATAAATATATTTATTTATATATATATTTATACGTACGTTCTTCTGACCATGGTTCTGTGAGGATTTCAACCAAGTTTTGCAGATGCTTTTTGTATTTTGTGACGGATCACTTTAGATGTTGTGTTGAAGCAAGAGCATGTCTCTGCAGGTGGGAGGCAACTATGTAGCACACAGTTGACCACATCCTGCTCCGTGTATACTGACAAAAATGGTACATACGTCAGAGTGACTGTTTTTAACTGTGTCATTTCAGTATAATTTATATTAAGGTTTGACTCATCATGTTTGTAAAAATACAGATTCCAAAATTTTTTTGCACTTAACCTGCACTGGAGATTTAAATCAGTGATTTCCTTTGTCTTTAGACTGTGAAGACTGTCCAGTATTGGATTATTCCATATTATTCTCACATTTGGACTCACCAATATATCTTGAAATAATTACATTTTGCAGTTACTTTATAAAGTTACATAGGGAGGCTTTTACAATAATTTGAAAAGCAGTTTTTAGTAAATCTTTAAAATTTCTGTAATCAGAGTAAAAAACAAGAAAGTCAGCTCTGTAAAGTAAAGCTCTTCTTTAGATAGATAGATGTTGTTTGTGGAAAATACTAACTGACCAGTGCTGGACTGCGTGAGTTTGTATATGTATGTATTCCTCTCTCCCTGTGGGCGGTTGCCTGCTGCGCTGCTTTTCTGTCACCCTGTGGTTTTGTTATTTTCAGCTCGAAACCGGATGTGATTCAGACTGCATGGTAGATTGTGTAATTGAATGGACTAACCACATACACACACATGTGCTCAAAGACACACACACACACATACACATAGGCCTATATACACTTGCACACACATTTTATGTCAGCACACAGAGACACATGCAGTCAGACAACACACAGAAAACGTACGCGTGCACACACACACACACACACACACACACACACACACACACAGTTTTGTAGCTCTGTACACCCACACAGTGAGGGTTTCTGGGAACGGTGCTGGGCTCCCCCCGTTCACAGAGGCACCCGAGGGTGAGCGAGCGGACGATGGAGCACCACCAGCAGTAGACAGACGCACGCTTCTTGGTTTCAATATTGGTCTGAAACATCGGTTGTTGACCTGGCTGACGCTGAGATCGGAAAAAAGGATAAAACGTACAAACGCTTGTGCACTGTGGAAACAAAAGGACGGTTGAAAGTGGGGAAAAACACTGAGAAGTGCTAGTGAAACCCATAATAAATGTCAGTTTCTGCATCAAAACATTTAGAAACTGTAGCCTACAGTTACATGCAGATAGAGCTAATTTCAGAAAAAGTAAGAACAGTAGGGAAGACATAGAGGTGGGCAAAAAAAGTACCTCCAAAAAGATTTTTCTCATATGTACAAAAATAGATATTCTGTAGAGACTTATTAATAATCATGAATAATTACTGTGGCTGTCTATGTATTTCTTCTAATTGTGACCATTTTCATTTTAGGATCCAATTATTATCTTTATTCGTGAAAGTTTGGGGATTTAGTTTTGTGTTGCAGAACGTATAGATGTATTTTCATGATGTTACGGAATCTCTGATGAAACAGAGAAAAGACTGAGGGCTCCTGTCATGCTGACCACACTCCATGTGACGCCGTTTGAACGATGTACGTGACACAGTGTGAGCGGCTGCTGACAGCAAACAGCCTCTTGATTCTAGGAAGACTTTGGACCAGAAAAACTGACGAGACGACGCTCCTGCGTCAAGCTGCCACAATAACGTATGCAGATGTGTGTATGTTAGAACATCGAGGCTTACACAGACAGGATGCTCTGTTTCCTCCCTGAATGTGCCTCCCGCATGGGTGCCCTGCACTAGGTGGTCTGACAACAGCAAGGAAAGATTTGTACCTGCAATGTCAGAACATTATTTAATTAACTGCCTTTATTTCCATGTAAAAAGTGTGTTACAGCAGCTGTGAATTATAACTTATATATACAACCTCCAGTCTGTCACTATAGCAGTAATCAAAAGCATTATGTGATGTGATGATGAACCTTGTTAAGGGATTATGTCAGCACACAAAGGTGGTGATGGTTGCTTTACCTTCCACCTCATTGCTGGCTTTACAGTAACTGCTGGCAAATCTTCCCAACCATATTACCTCAGAGCTTCCTCTTTACGTACTGTCTGATTCTCATCATTCTGTGGTATGGTCTCTTCAGAGGAGTATGTCTTTTTGTGAGCATGCATTAAGTGCAATATGTTCAATTCTCACTCGATTTACTGTAAAACCATTTACAATAAGTTGACTTCATAGTTACATGTACAATGAGCCACAATGATTTAATCATAGTGTGTTTATAATGTTGTTTTATGATATTGTATCTATTGCTACTGCAGTGGTGCGTAATGTTATACTGTGTACTTGATAACAACAACAGATATATTGCGGTGAATTAAATCAGTTATTCCTGCAATGCTGTAAATATACAAAATATTCTGCTATTGAAAAAGAAATTCTATTTTCCTTTTTTTCATTATTTTCACTAAATTACTGCAGTAAGTCCTTGAAAATCCTTTATTGTTATTAGCTGGACAGGAACAAACTACTTATTTGGATCGTGCTCAGGGATTGTGCATACCATGCTTACAGAAATCTAACAGCCTTTTTCCACATGGTAGGAATATCCACTCCCGTGATTAGATCTGGTTTTCCATAGGACAGAACAGCACACATAAAGGTTTGTTGACTTTAAATAACATGTTATTTAACCAAGCTTTCCTCCTGCAATACTTACAGCTGATCTGTAACAATAGTACAGTACTCTCTAGTATTCTCTACTATAATCTTTAATCCTACAACAGTTACAGTTTTAATCCTATTTCAACTCTATTGTGGCATGGTTTGGGCCTTTCCATGAATTTAATGTACAGTAGTGAGTAAAGCTATTTATACAATCAGCTCAACAATATATGGCATTGTTATTAGGCCTACAGAAACTATTCCAAACATTTCCTCATGATGGTCCTTTCTTCTACTGTTGGCGAGGACGTGAAAACAATGTTCAGGAGTCCTATCAGAGTCTTTTCTCCTGTTAGGTCTCTACTTCAGATACGTTATGAGGTCATTTAGGGTGGTTGATCTCATTAAATGGAAGTGCAAGTTTTTATATAATTAAAGGGAATAATATTGCTGTGGCGTTAAATGTATTGAAAGAAATCCAAACTGCTCCAGTCTTTGTAATCAAATTTAAAAGCTCTCGTGAAATGACTGTTAGCGTGAAAATTACAATATTAGTCAGCAGGGTGTGTATTAGTCATTTGTTGGTTTTGTTTAATAATTATTATGAGAATTATTTGTATATATATATATAGTAAAATCATGTATTTGGAGTACCGTTTAAAGTAACTGCAGTCAAATCCACCAAAACATGTTTTACTGGCAGGAAACCAAATTGGGTTCAAGATACATTTTTTGTTTCCTGAGAATGTCTGTAGCCTTGGTGGATATGGTTTTGTGCAGAAACTTTTATCATATACAGTTTGAAGTTGCACCCCGGCTAAAATAATTGTTTGTTAAATGCTATTTTGGTTTTATTAGACATTAGCTAGACATAGCTTAATTGGTATGGAAGGGCGGACCTAGAGAAATTCATGAGGTGCCAGAAAATATAGTCTGATTTAATCACAAACAATCTCATATATCAAAATGTTCTTAGAAAAGCCCCCAAAGGAAGATTTTAACAATATTACATTACATTATTGTGGCAAATTTGTAAAGCAATAAATGGATATATCCAAAGGTGGCATTAGAAACCAATAGTTTTATTTCCAAATCAGACATTTTGCCAAATACACATTTCATTTAACTTTAGCCAATCACTTGTGAGGCACATCATTAAATTATATGTGCTCATTTCCATTTTTTAGCACATTTTAAAAAAAGGAAAATCTAAATGAACGTGTTAAATTTGACTGCCTTTGACACCAAACTAGGGCGGCAGCTGGGGTGGCAAGGCATTTATGCCACCCCTCTGCTTCCGCCCCTGGGTACCTAAACAGACTTCAGAAATCTGAATAGCCAATTGTCGGGACTATTCAGTGCTGTTGTATACATTATGCCATGTACTATATAATACAGTCTCAATACAATGGACAAATAATGGCAGTTTATTACAAATCAGAGTGCTGGCAGTCAGTACTGAATGTGTTGGAGGTTCCTTTACTTTTAAGCAGCAGACTCAGTAACATGTGCTTCAACCTGGAGTGTCACATGCTGTCTCACCCAGACAAAAATAACGTGCTGAGTGAAGGATTTATCATTTTTGGAAACATTTACTCTTGAAAACGTAAAATGTCAGCACAGACTTTTGGAGAATCAAGTAAAAAAAAAAAAAGAGGGGGATGGGGAATTGAACCCTAGCACTCAAGAGCGACAAAAGTGAAGTGAAGTTAAACTAATTTGTCTGGGGACCTCCGAGGGGTTGAGGAGGGTGTCGGGACCCACAGAACCACATCACTCTGCCTGCTGCTACTACAGCGCTGGTTTGGAGGGTTTTGACAGCAGATGGAGCCACAGCGTAGGGGCATTATTGGAATTGACACACTGTGGAAACAAAGTTAGGACTCTTTTCCAAAGTTATAAGGAGCCAAGCGCGGATTGGCTGCAGTTTGCACCCAATGGGAGTCAGTCAGTGCAGGAAAACAATAGTCCTGAAGGTCCGTGTGAAGTCAAGGCTATTTTTGGTGGGACCCGCCTTGCTTGCTATTTCTGTCAGCAGGAGACCGGAGGGGAGGGGGCAGGACTTGAGGGGCCGGACTTTTTCTGCAACTTGCCTCCGATAAGTCTCTTTTCTTTTCCTCCTCCTCCTCTGTACTGCTCCACTGACAACACCAGCGGCTCTCGCCATCACCTCCCGTCAGGGTTTTTCGGTCTCCTGCACAGGGACTTTGTTTAGCTGGATTATATCATTAAAGGTTTGGACCGTTTCAAGAGGCTGTTAGGTGTTAACGGATTCTGTCTTACAAAGGTAGGAAACACTGTTGGAGACAGAGTGTGATGTGGGAACCGCTGGAAGTTTGTTTCATGTGCTTTACTTGTTAAATGTGCTGTTGTTTGTGTCGGAGTTTTGCATTGCTAATGCTAAGAAAAGCTATGAGTGGTTAGCTAACCTGCGCAGGTGTTTGCTCTGTTTTAATTGCCCACGAGCGCTTAGAAGTAAAGCGCGTCAGAAAATAAGACCTCTTATTAAAACTGATGAATACCATCTTCTGGTCTCTATAGTGTTATTTTAGCCGTCGTTTAGTGATACATGACTACCACAAAGTCACTATTAGCTCGTTTTTTTCTCTCAGAAACGATATTCCTTGCGGGATATTATAGAAATAAGCCAACACATAACGTGTCACAAAGTAGGATAAAGTCACTAAGTTAGATACGCCGTGGGTCGCCAAAGAAAGGTCGTCATTTTTTGGTTGTCTTCGTAAACAGAGAAATGAATGTTTTGTTGAAATTGTTTGTGGTCTGTGAGCTACAACCGTGCCATGTCTTATCAGTCATTTCTCAGATGTTATTCAAATATTATTTAGCCGACTTTTGGCCCTTGTGTTTGACCCCAATTGGGTTTTTGCTGCTCAACAGATGTTAACCAGCAAGCGGAGTTCAACAGGTCTTCCACCACACACACACACACACACACACACACACACACACACACACACACACACGCACTACTTGCCTACTTTATTTGTCTTGTGTGTGTGTGTGTGTGTGTTATTTCGGCTGGCCCAACCAGCACTGCCATATTCATTCTGTGATCTTTATATCCAGCTCTGGGTCAAATATTAAACATGACAGGCGGGGCTTACATCACAAGGGCAGCTCAGATTGTGCCCAGCCGCACCCATCAGGTGGCCAAGTCTGCTAATACAAACCTTTAAGGAGCATTAAGTCATCTGTGTCGGCTGCCAGCAGGGATTGCAACAACTTTTCTGGGACAGTTTATGGCAGCCTGCAGTTGACATTTTTCACAATAGAAAGGAGAATTTCAGCATTTTGATCCAGCTCATGAGCTGCCACTTGCCAATTGTACTTGTTTTGATAACTTCTTATTGTTTTTTATATTGTGTGTCTGAGCTGCTTTTCACTCATTTATTTTCTGTTTGTCTCCACAGATGGAATCAGCACCTCTGGAAACATCATAGAGACTGACAGACAGGACAACATATTTCATACGGTGGCAGGTAGAACTTTCAACTTCTAAAGAAATTTGACTAAATACCAACTGGGACTTAATAAGTAGTTGTGTTGTGGCTTGGTAATATTTCACTTAAGTGTGTTAAAGTTAGACCACAGTCATCAACACTGAAACATTCATGTGGAAAAATGCCTGTCAACTCCCCTCAGGTCTACATCTTGTCCTCTTTACAACATTTTATTTTTACAGCGTACACACACATTAAACAGCTTGGGTGACAGCAGATTTTCCAGTGTAGAATGATCTAAGCTGTTTGATTTTCTCAGAGAAGTGCAGTAAAGTACAGAACAGGTGTTGAGGTGTTGTTGGCCTAGTTGGAAACACGTAGTCTGGCCGCTGTGTTTTTCATGTGTGGGTTTGCTGCAGGTCATGCAGCAGTGTAGTTTATTATGTGTCAAAATGTCCTACAAAATGTGTGCAAGTTAAATTCAGCATTCATTGTTCTGCTGCACGGCTTTGGCTACCTTTTGTGAACAATATCCAGTTGCAGTTCTTTTTTTCTAAAAAAAGTTATCTGTCAGTCCATCCTGAGTTCAAATTAGTCTTGAAGGATATTTTAAAAATCTGCATATGGTGCCAATATACACTTGTAGGATTTAGTTTACTTTTTTCAATATCCCTTCCCTAATTGTGTTATTTTGTCTTAGCAGTGGAGTGGTCCGAACCTTAATCTTAGATGCAATTGAAACAAAGATCTGGAATTATCTAAATTTATTTTCTACAGACATTTTCCAACGGATTTTCAACTGTTTTTCATTCATCACATAATTGCTGCATTCGCATGTGAATGTGGTCATGGTGAATGACAACAATGAAAATGTCAACAGTGACTGCTAGTGCGATACAGGATGTGAACCTGAGCTAACCCTGCACTTATCTCGCTCCGCTTTCAGGAGAATCTATGACCACGATGGGCATGTTAGGATTGCCTTTACCCCACAATCAATTCCCATCCTAATAGCAGCAGTCATGTATATGTCTGGCAAATTTCTCCCCATTTTGCTTCTCTTCTCTGTGTAAAGAACTTTAGAAACATCACCACAAGCCAGCTGCGCTAAGTGCTGACTCACATGGGAAACACTCAAAGGTTTTTTTCTTCAACCTGAGATCAAAATGAATTTGATCCACTGCTCCACCCGTCAGAAACGAGTCACCCGGCTGTTTCTTTGTTTCCTGCCTTTTAGTTTAGATTAGCATTCTCCTCTGTGAAGCATGCCTCTGTGATCACACTGTGTAGGATTACAATGCATGACTCTCTGAATGGAAGCTTGCCCTCGCTGTGCCAGGCTCCGCTGACTGTATGCTAACCAAGGACTCGCTATGTGTGTTTGTATATTGTGTGTGTGTGTGTGTGTGTGTGTGTGTGTGTGTGTGTGTGTGTGTGTGTGTGTGTGTGTGTGTACGTGCCTGTGGAAAAACCCGGTGAGGTCATGGCCATGGCTGTAGGGTCTGGTTACACGTGTGTTGTCCACACAGGGCAACTGACACTGGCTCTCTCTCCTTTGTCTTCCTCTCTAATCTCCATCTCCTTACTAACACACACACACCCCTACACACACATACAGACACACAACCTCACTTTAAACCTTTTTTACTGTTGAGCATATCACCCCGATGCCAGGCGTCTCTGAAGTTAGAGACTGGTTAGCAGCCTAAGGTGGCAGCAGTCTGCACCAGATGTGTGTAAGACGTGACACCACCATTTTAAAAGCCTCTAGAGCTCAAACAGCCCTTTAAACTACAGAGGACTGCTATAATAGACCTGCAGGCCTCCAGGCTTACTTCTTACTTATACTGTAGCATGTTCTTCTTGTTTCAGTTTTTTTACATACACAAAAATGAAATCAACAGGTGGAAACAGTACCTGAAGAGACCACGGGTGCAGGGACAATGCATGATGCAGACAAGTTGGACACTCCTAATAAATCTTCTATAATACCATGAAACCAAAACTTCCACATCTGAGTCACATTCCAGTCCTTCCAGCAACAGATACAAACAGTTGTTGAAGTTTTGACAAGTAATAAGATCTAGTGTTTTAAAGGTTGTTTTCCTCATAACAAGTGAAAAGAATCTTTTAATAGGTTGAGAAAGTAGCTTTTGTTTTCAGTGTTTTTCTGAATCAACAGATGTTGCATTGAAACAAATCAAGCCATCTCTATCATATCCACAAAATAGAAATAGAATAAAATGATAATATTTTTGGAACAAATTGCTTCACCGTACAGACAGACTCACTCTCACATGTACACTCTTTTTCTTCTATAAATGTTCCTATGTCTTGTATTCTGTCCTGTCTGGTTCACTAAACTAAAGGGAGACACTTCAGGGACAGATAACAACAGGCATGATTGTAATAGCTGCAGCAGAGAGGACATATCCTCTTCCTGGTCCTGGTTTTCAAACACTCAGGTCAGCTGATGTAAGGGCTTTTCTTCTTTGTGTCACTGGTTTCTGCAGAATGGGAGAGCTGATAGAGGAAGAGTTTGTTACAATAGATTATTTGTATATGCGTGTGAGAGTTGGATTTGTATTTTTACATTTAAATGTTTATTTTATATTTCTATAGGTTAATATACAAATACATTCTTTCATATATTATACATTTCTACATTAAACTGCAGTAATTAGAGAGAGTGAATGAGCTTCTGTTGAGCATTAACTCTGATTTAATGCTCTTTTTTCCCCTTGCAACTAATCTTCCTCACTTCTTTATACGTCTGAGTAACCTGACCTCACTTTAACATTTAATCAGCCGGTTTAGAGTTCATTGGTATAGAGGTAATATATCACTAAACAACATACTGGAATGGTAATACGGCTGCAGCTACTACACTATTTATATAACACTAAATTGTGCACCATCTTGAATTTCCTGTGTGTGGCGTTTTTGTTAGAAAACACTGTAAAGTCATTAAATCCCAGCAGCTGCCCCCCAAAATTGACCTATTTGTACTGATCAACAGCCATATTAACCTCTGCAGATATATTATGGTCATTCTGAGCTCTGGGTCCCCTTAAAGCCAAACTGCAGTGTAGATACTAGTTGTGGTAGTAATGGTAGTAATAGTAGACGGCAATGACGGAGACGGCTATTTTTGACCTGCTGAACAAATGGCTCGATTGTCCTGCCTCTAGGTGCGTGAAATCACTTGATATGTCAGGGGTAATGTTATATAATACCCTCCAAGGGGCCCCATGGCACTGTGTGTGCGTGTGTGTGCAGTTTTCTACTTTTCATGCCTGTTAATTGTGTGTATTTTTCTGCTTCTCTGTATCACCCTGCACATATTTTGTAAATAGGACAGAGAGGCTGTGTGTAAGTGTGTGTGTCGTGGCCTGAGGTAACATTGTTCTTAACATTTTATTAGTGTGTCAAATCAATTCATGTTGTATAAACCTTTGAGCTAAAGGCTCCTTGCTGTGGTCAGCTGGGTAATTGGTCTGTTGTTGGCCTCCAGCCGCAGTCTGTATCCCCTTCGGGACGTCTCTCTCTCTTCCATATACACAAGCACATACACGTAGACACACTTAATCCCATTGAAATTTCCTTAAATCAATGGAATTATTCTCAGAAAGATTTATTCCTGTGCCATTTGGGGAAAAAAAAAGAGACCTTTTCACCTCAGTGCCACCCACTGCTCCAGACAAGAAGCCTTGGATCTAAAAAACATGTTTCAGCCTCCAGTGATTTGTGATTTGCTTCTGTCAAAAACAACTACATTTATCTTGATCACAGCTTGGGCTCCAGGCTCATAGGCTTGTGAAAATTCATACTGAAACCATTCATACTGAATATTTCTGCCCGTATTCAATCAGGTGTTTTGTTAGTAGCTCATTAAGGCTCTGAAACCCTTCTGATTCAGTGATAAAATTATTGGGTGACATCATGAAAAGATTATATTTACATCTAACATCTGTTAAATTCAAATCCTGCTGTGTTACATATGTAGCTCTCAGGAATGCTGATCATCTTGCACATAGATGATGTGACTAATATGTGATATCTGATAAAAGGCCAATACAGACCCCATATATCAGTCTACCCCTAATCACAAGGTTTCCAAACCAGACTCCTCCTCGCTGTATTTTGATATAGTTCGACCTAAAGTGCATCAGAGAGTAATGGACGGCTCACATTCACTCCAGATCACCGAGGTGACTGACACTGACCTCGGATCAGATAGCCTGTTGTTAGAGCAGATGCAATAGGATCTCCTCCCATCTGGATGGACTCCTGACTTTACATCTGACTGTGTGTGTGTGTGTGTGTGTGTGTGTGTGTGTTGTGTGTGTGTGTGTGTGTGTGTGTGTGTGTGTGTGTGTGTGTGTGTGTGTGTGTGTGTGGACAGGATTCTCAGAGACGCCCTTTTGAGATACATACATAGACGGCACAGAAACCTGTCAACAGTGCTGCAGGGAGCAAAGGTGATAATAGTTGGGGAGTAGTTGAATATGTTGTGCACTAAACTGTGCAAATCACAGATGTGATCGGTGGAATATGTCCAATATCACAAGGGGGAAGTACACAAGATGCATAATAATACGCATGCAGTGATTTTTTTTTTTTTAAGCAGGCTCTTTCTCTTACTGTTTCCCCATTGCTAATAAATACTTCTACATCCTGTATTGACACAGCTAAAAAGTTGCTGTAATAGACTGAAGGTATCCCATATTCAACATCTGGCATATGTCTAACCTAATGTCTGCTTGGCAAATAGAATGAAATTCAAATATTCTACCAGTAGCAGTGAATACTTTGTGCTTTTTGTGGTCTGAGACTTGTTATAAACCAGGTCAAATCTGACCACTTGCAGAATTAAGGTAGTTGTGTAGTGAGCATTAGTGTAATTTCTGCTACTCCTGCCATTTCTCACTGGAATCCAATCAAGTTAAGTGCAAGTAATGATCATTATCGATGAATTTGTTTTTCTTAAGAAAATGACAAACAATGAATCCGTTATCAAATAGTTGTTACTTTTCTGC